CTTCAGTATCAGTTATTTGGAGAAATGTATTTTGACAGTGAGTGTATCAAGTTGTATAAACATAAGCTATGCTTACATTACTTTCCAAGAAATATTGAAAATGTTGCTTAAGAAGCATCTGAATTGCAAAGTTTTGACTAATTTCAAAATTTATATCTACTTTGGTGCAGTGAGTTTGATAATGATCTCAAGAGACACCACCTGCAATGCTACATCGAGTTCTGGAGCCCCGAACACAAGAAGAACATGGAGTTGTTGGGGCAGGTCCAGAGGAGGGCCATGAAGATGATCAGAAGGCTGGAGCACCTTCGCTATGGGGACAGGCTGAGAGAGATAGGGCTCTTCAGTCTGGAGAAGAGAAGGTTCTGAGGAGACCTTAAATGGCCTTCCAGTACCTGAAGGGGCCTACAGGAATGCTGAGGAGTGACTTTTTATTAGGGCATGTAGTGATAGGATGAAGGAAATAGCTTTAAATGGGTAGAGGATAGATTTAAACTAGGTATTAGGAGCTTTGGACAATTTTGTAGCATCCAGTGACTCTGCAGCCCACCTTTTGGACTGCCCAGGTGGTGACTGCATGACTTCCCCATTACTGATTTGTTTTGTCTTAGAGAATCTGAAAATATTTTTGGAAAATCAAGGCCATCTGCACTCTTATAGTTCAGCTCATGCTTGTTTTGTGTAGATAGTTATAAGATGTTCCCTTGAACTAGGAAATATTTACAGAATTGATGCTGCATGTCATAATGTGCCCAACTAAATCTAATGACTCGATATTTTACTGTTTCATTATTATGGTAGAAGCATCTTTTTCTGTTTCATCTTCATTTTTGTATTAAAAACAATTTCTAGCTTCATTGGTCCACAATATAGACCCATTTTACTCATCATGATTAACTCTTTCTTGTTAGAAACAGAAACACAGAAAAAAAATTTATACACCGTACTTCAAATTACTGCCAGACAACCTACCAGCTACCACTGGAGTTGTGCTAAAAACTTGAGTTTTAGTGTGTAGAGGTCCTCAGACATAGAGACCTGTGTTTTAACTATTCAACAGAAAAGAATAAAAGACACCCCTATCTTTACAGCCACGTTGAGTCCACACCAGGCTTAGATTTGATGAAAGAATTTGAGTATGAAAGCAGCATGGAAATGTCAGTGCAGCAGGCTGATCTTTTATGTTATTAGATACTAAGATTTGCACCAGAATATTGGTTTTATTTCAATACTGTATTAGCTGATAATTTTAATGCAGATTTCTGAGCCAAAGGGAAGAGTTAATGTTTGCAGGAATAACTACAATCAGAGTGGAATAAACCAGCAATCCAATACTTCTAAATCCAGTAGATACCTTTCCAAAGGGCAGTAATTTGGAAGTATTAGTGCTCTGAAGTCAATGGAACATGTACATCATTTCAGTGGAGAGACATCCCTAGTGGTAGTGTCCTAATTCAACCAGATTACAAGATGCTGAGAAAAAAAATTACTTTTTTCAGAAAGTATGAACAATTTTAATTGAACAGAATTGAAAAATTTGTAAGCTATATACATATGCTTTAACTATTGACAAGAGAAAGAATGACAGCTTCCTGCTCAAATAGGGTGTCCAGTTGCTATGGTATTTCTGTAACATGGATTCCTTTGATTTGCAGCAATTTTATGTGGCAGATTTGTGTTGCTACTCTGCTTGCTGGCAGGCAGCATGGCAGCATATTCTTAATTTAATTCATTTGATTATGTTTTTCATTATGGAAACAGTGGAAGATGCTATGATTTCATTTGGCATCCTCACAATTACCACATAAATTGGTGTGTTTTCTGCTCAGTCAGTGAAGATCTCTTCCAGTCCCTTAATTTGGGAGGTTTTGGCAGTTTGGTTTTTTTTTGTTTTGTTTTTTTTTTGTTTGTTTGTTTGTTTGTTTGTTTTGGTTTTTTTTGTTTTTTTTTTCTAAATTCAGGCTGTTACTCATTAAGAGGTTTCACCACTAATAATAAATTGAAAGTCAAAACCCATAGAAGTCCTCCTTCCTTCTCACAAAAGGGATATGTCAAGTTCTTTCAAGGAAGAATAGTACTAGATTTTGAAATGTATGTTAGTATATATAATATATTCAGCACATTAAGATAAAATAAAAAAGTTAACTATGTATCCTAAAGCAAAACAGGTATAAAAATAGGTATTTTTGTTCAAAATATAAAAGTAATACTAATGAAATTGCCATCTGTAGCAGTTCTCTTTCCTCAGTAATTAGTAAAATTTACAAAATCAGTTTGATGGTTGTGTTTATGACAAGACACACAAATAAGAAACTAGAGTATAAGAGATCCAGTAAAACCTATTGTTCATTCAGAAAATCTCTACTGATTAGCAGGATTGTGTGGGAACTGCTGAATCACTGCCTCAACCTCTGATTGATCACCTGAGGTGAGCAATGAGTCAGCCCTGGGAGCACAAGTGAAGGCAATTCACCTGTGCTGCTGGAAGGGGTGGAGCCTGGCTGCACCTCTCCTAGACCCATTTAAGAGCTGACTAGCAGGGGGGAAGAGTCTTTTTTGGAGATCCCTCCTCTGGAGTTTTGCAGTGAGCCCACGATGTGGGTAAGCTTTCTATTTATTCTCTATTTGTTATTATAATCTTCTTTGTCAAAATCTCTTGTTTATTTTGTAGTTATGACATTTGTATGTTCATTGATTGTACACATGATGCAACAGCAGGATGGGTATTTTCCATACGAAAAACTAATTAGCCCATAACAAATTAGACTGTTGCTGAAGCAAAAGTGGTTCGGGGGTTTTTTTGTTTGTTTTTGTTTTTGTTTTTTTTATAATTGTGGTTATGAAGTCTGAACTGGAATGCAGGCAAGTATAATTAATGATAAAGAAAGATAAACTCAAATTGTACAGTTCAAAACTAGAAATTATTGGGGAAAAAAAATAAAACAACAAAAATGACTATGATGTAGGGGTGCATAAATTTAGGTGAGTTTGAAGGAAAAGTGTGTTCATGAGTAGTCTTCCATGTGGGAAAACAGATTTCACATAATTTAAGATGGAAATTGATATGACTAGACTTAGCAGTCCAGTGATCTAGAGCTGCATCTGCAACTCTGCGCCGCGGTCTAAACTTCCACGTGATATATACAGTTTTTAACCTAACTGTCTCTTCCTTAATGTAACTCATCCTTAATATCAAAAACAGTATGGAGGAGTTTTTGTAATGATTTATACAATTTACTTTTTTATTCTTCCTTTCCTTTTTCAATAAAGATAAATAAATATTGGAAATACAGCTGAGAAGTAGCCAACTAGCAAGGTAGCAATAGTGCCCAATATGCCAAACAAGACAAAGATTCAGGCTGTATTTGAATTTAAAAGGCCTATGAAAATGAAAAAACTGTAACATGGAGGGGAGTTGGCCAGGGAAGCAGCTTCTCCTTGGGTAAAGGCTGTGCGCTGTTAGACAGATAGTGAGCAATTGCGTTGTCCTTTTTTTTCTTTTTTTTAATATATATACTTACTATTAACATACTACTAATATAACTATTATCATTACTATTTTTTTTCCATTTCTCCTCCCCAATTCCTCTAGGAGGGAGGAGAGAGTAAAAACTGGTGCTGAGCTGCTGCCAGGTTGAAGCATAGCACTTCCTGATACTGATACCTTTGAGAAATTTTAAGTAATAAGCCACCTATTGTGTACCTCAGAAACCTAAAGTTTCTTACAACTGTCTTTTTTCAATTGCTTTTTCACCAGTGGAATTATTTTTCCATCTCATCACACCATGGACTGGTTGTGCCTGGTCTTATTTCTTCCCTATTGCAGCACTTGACGTTTCCATTTACTGAACTCCATGAACTTTCTGTCAGCCTGTGATCAAATAAATTACCATTTGCAGACATCATAATGAATGAAAGATATACCAACACTAGAACTGAACTCACAGAGTTGACTGTTACTCCTTTATACTAATCTTTCCTTGTGCATTTATGATCGACTAAATGTTAAGATAAATTCCTGGTTATTATGCATAAAGAGAAATAGAATTTTAGTCTTACTCAGTTTTATTTTTCTTTCTGTACAGTAGTAGAAACAATGAAAGCTTATCCTTCACTTTTCATACACTTATGAAGAGAAGTGTGCATGATTGATAAATGTAAATAAGGAAGTACGTGTTGGGGTAGTTTTCAAAGGGAAGCAGCCTTATTCTGAACTTAACTTTTATTTAAAAAAAAAAGTTATCTATGTCTTCTCCACTTAAGTATTAATTCTCATTAATAGTTCTGTTAAGTAGATATTTAAACCGTTATAGTAACTGAGTTCATTTTAGTGATGCTGGATTCATTATTTGTTAATTTACTAACATAGTTGTTGAGGGCTGCTCCTAAAGTAATGACTGCTGTTTTATTATGTTGACACCATGGCATGGGTTGGTGCATTTCAGCAGTGACAACAACAGTAGGTCACTTCTGCTCAAGCAGATTTTTATCAGTGCAGCATCCAGGCTCTTGTTCATTGCTGCCAAAATGCATAGCTGGTGACAACTGTCTTTGAAAACAGTGTTTTGTAGCTGTGCATTTGCTCTGTCAGATGGAGTGACTGTGCTCTTTATTGTAGTTTCCATGTAAATAAACAGGAGGCATTACTTTCAGAGCAACCTGACACAGAGGTTTTGTGGTTTTTTCATAGTCTCAAGCAAGTTGACTGGCTAGCATCTGGCATGTTTGCTCTAAGAAGAGATAGTGAAGCACTCTCAAACACTCTGTGTATAATCCATTATTTATTATTTGTTTGTACACAGGAAGCAACCAATTGGCTTTTAACTATGAATATCATCTTAACCCAGCTGATTTGGATTATAGAAAAGCTTTGTGTTTCCAGAAAAAACATTCTATTCTTCTACCTTTCCTGAAAAGAACAGTTGTGCTTAGCATTTCCCTTTGCTATAACAAGCTAATCCTCACTTTTCTTTCTTCTGTTTGTTTTCTTTCCACCACAGGAGTCATCAGGACTGCCTTGCATAACATGGACAGGGAAGCCAGAGAGCATTATTCTGTTGTCATTCAAGCCAAAGATATGGCTGGGCAGGTTGGAGGGCTGTCAGGGTCAACAACAGTAAATATCACACTCACTGATGTCAACGACAATCCACCCAGGTTTCCTCAGAGTATGTACAGTTTCAATATATATTTTGTTGTGAAAGTTGTGTTGTTTGTCAGTGAAGTAGGAAGCTACTAGTGAAATCAATTCCAATTCAAGGGGGAGAAGGCTACTGAGGGAATGGTATGATTTCACGAATATTGTTGCTCTAATATTTTTTTTTAATTTTCTCATGTTTTTGTGTGAAGCACAGGTATGAAACAACTGAAATACTGAAACCGTGAAGATTTATTTCAATTAAACACTGAGTAAGAGAGAGATGGGTGATAAGTAAATACTCATGTCACATGTGGGTTGCTCTCCACACCTTTTAGAATGTGCATAAAGCAGTAACCACATATTTCACCTGTGGGATCAAAATGTTGTTCCATTGTTCAAAACAACAAAAAGTAACACATTCAAAGTTCAAATCTGCATTTGGCTGCTTCCATACATATTTATCAGTTTTCATTTTCTATTTCTTTCTCTAAACTCTTGCAAACTTTTAAGATCACTTTTTGCACTACAAACAAAATCTGAGCCGTTAACAATTGTTGAACTGCTGTGAAGTCTGTCTTTCTCCTAATTAAATGTTCTGGCAGTGTTGGTGTCAAACTGAATGTTCTTACACTTATGTATGTAAAAGTGTAAGCCAGCATACTCTTGTTAGAAAATCTTTATGTGACCACTTGTCACAGATTTATCTCTATATCTATCTGTGTTCATGACAGGGGGACAGCAGGCCCGCAGGGCCCCCCCCCCCAAAAAAAAAAAAAAAAAAAAAATAGAGGGGTTTATGGGCTGATTCAACCCGGTTCTTTGACTGATGGGACAGGGGACCCACAGATCCATGCCCTGGGAACTGAAGGCAAAACGGCTAGGGGATGTGCTGCCAGGATGATGAGCAGAAAAAGAGACAGTCTCGTTCAGCAACTGCCAGCTATGACACCACTAATAGGAAGCTCACTTTTATCCAGCTCGTTTTGTGTATAGTGATCTGACACAACAGCTGGAGCCCTGTAAGTACTCAGGATTCAGTTGACAATTTATTTGAAAGTCTTCTGGAATGAAATTGCATAGCAAAACCTACTCCCTTTGCCGATTGGCTCAAGGCCAGTAAGAATCTTGTAATCTGGACTCAGATGTTGCATGAGCCCTTGTAGAACATAATGGACTAGTAGCTATAGGTACATCCACTGGGAAATACATAAGCTATTTGAATGAGATTTATAAACAATAGTAGAGATCACAATGCTCCAGGGAAAAACAAAGCTCCCTGGCAGTGCATGTTATGTAAAATCTGGTCAAGCAATAAGAAGGCTCATTAAAAGTATTGCAGAAAAGAGTGGTTTTTAGTGCCTCACATGTGCATACACAAGCCTTTTAAAAACAACCTTTAATAAAGTATGTTTGGTTTTAGGTTTCACGAAATTGCCAATATACTCTGTGTTGTATTTAATAATTCTGAACTTTTGAAAAGACAAAGGGAAAGCCATATCTTCGATCAAATAAAATAAAGCAGTTAAGCTACAGAAAATGTCTTAGTTTTTCTGCATATTCAGGAAGAAATGGATCCCTATGTTTGCTCCCTTTTGAGTGGAAGTTTTTGGCAAGCTGACTGACACAAAAGTGTACATCAGCACATATATTTCTTAATTTGACTTAGTATTTTAGGAAATTGAGAAAATATAACATCTTCACATTATCTTCTACACAGTTTAAGGGACTCTAATAATTGCATAAAATATTTTCAAAAACTACAAAGCATCATTTCATTTCTAATGGAAAGTCATTGTTTAGTAAAGCAAGGTAAAAACCCTATGTTTTAACATGTACCGTTTTTACCAGAAAATATTAATCCTGGAACAAGTATTGTTGGTTACAACACTTATCTTTCCTTACACAGAATTAGTATAGTGCAACTTTGACTGTAACATTGCTTTTCCACTTCTTTTTGAGAAGTGTAATTGAAAGCCATTGCAAAAGAATGGTAGCTGTATGTTAGTAATAATGAATCAAAGCAGATGATCTAAACTCAGCCCATCTTACTGTCTTGAAATATTGCAGTAATATATGAGTATTATGTTAATAAAAACAACTTTGCTGTTTATTTTTCTTCTCCTCTAATTGTATGCCATGCTTTTCAGTTAAGTTTCCCTTCAATTTCCTTATTAGGTGGAATGCTAAATGACTCTTACTGAGGTTTGTCATATTCAGAACTGAATTCAAGAGAAGTACTAACCAAAGCTACGTATATAAAGTGTATAAATCTTGGGACAGGCTGAGCCTAAGCTAAATCAGAATTCTATTTTGGTTAGTTTTCTTTTTCTTCATAGCCATACATGTGAGTTGTGAATCTGACTGTAACTGTATGAGTACAGTACAAGCTAGGAAGCATGTCTGATTGGCGCTTCTATTATTTGTTTTATCTAGAAGCGCACTTTACTGTATGCATTTAAAAGGTCTATCTTTCTGGCCCTGTAGATAGGAGTTCATGCATATGGACTAGGGTAAGCTAGATTTGTCCTTTCTGAATAAATTCTTCAAAAAACTAATTGAAACCTGAATAAGAAATTATAAATCTATCTTTTTATATGAATTTACTGTATTTTTTCTGTGCTCACTCAAAATATAACTGACCTTTTCCAAAGAAATTATTAGAAGAGCTACAGTGTTCCAAAGTACCAAAAAGACTATAAGGAAGATTATGGAAGCCTTCTGCATAAACGGATCGGTGTGATTGCAGTTCTGAAATAGAAGTGAATACATGGTAGTAATAATCTCTGAAATAAGATGCATAGCTGAAAAATTCTGTTTGCAAAACACAGTGGTATGTGTCGGAAGTAGGCAAGGGGTTGTAAATTCATCAGAATCGTGAACTGAATCTTTCTATGCATTTTGCTTTTCATCTGCTTATTGCATCTTATACAATTCTTATTTATTTTCCCTTATTACCACACATTTCTTCTTTTTAGAGTCTAGTTATACACGAGCTAGCTATGTAATTTAAGCTGCAGACAGTGCTCTGCATGGGAAGGTCTTATCAGTAATCAGCATCACTCAGTTCTTGTCAGTTTTAGCATTGATGGATGTATTTGGCTGATAGTTGAAGGCACAAATTTCATAGTCATAAATTTACTTCAGTAATCTGTTAATGAATTTTCATCTGCTGATGAAACAGTTGTATCAAGCTTGATTTACATAAGAATTTTCTGTATACTTCTGTTTTGTTAATTCTCTCTGGTCTTGCTTAGAATGAGTAGATTAGACATGTTTTTCCTTTGTTTAGGATGAATACATTTTGATTGCATCAAGATCATCACACTTGGCAGATGCTTACACTGACATGTTTTGTACATCAAATGCTAATGACTACAGTCCAGATAGTGTGTAGTAGATCTATAGCATTATGTCTTGAGCCCAGTTTTACAAGGGAATAACTTCCTGTTTCCCCATTTGTAGATTTTCTTCTTTCATACGTCTAACTCTGTTCTTTAGGATAAGGTGGAATTTAAATATAATTCACGAAGGAAAGAGTTTTTATAAAGCTTGATTGTTGAAACTTTGTTGTTTTATAGCAGTGTATAAAAATAGTATGAAAATATGTATATGTGAAATTTGTTTTACCTCACTTTTTTAAAATGTCATTTTATGATATAGAACCATAGAATGGCTTGGGCTGGAAAGGACCTTAAGGATCATCAAGTTCTACCCCCTCTGTTAACCCCTCTGCCACAGGCAGGGTTGCTACCCACTAGATCAAATACTAGATTGCTTGAAGTCCCATCCAACCTGGCCTTCAGGGACAGGGCATCCAGCACCTCTCAGGGCAACCTGTTCCAGCACCTCACCACTCTCTCAGTAAAAATCTTCCCCCTGACATCTAATATAAATCTCCCTGACCATAGATGGGCCCTTGGGAAACACCACCCATTAGTGGCTTCCCCTGGACATACAGCCTTTGACCACAACCCTCTGGTTGCGACCTCCAGCCAATTCCTTATCCACTAAATAGTCCATTCTTCAAATCCATATCTCTCCATTTTAGAGTTGAATTTTTGTAACTTTGATTCATATCTAATTATCTAGTTTACTTTTCGTTGTATTGTTTATGAGATAGATGATGGTAAGTCCAGTGATAATTCAGCGGCCAGGGAGTATTAGGAAGCATTTAATTTCCTAGACTGTTCTATGTTTAAATTTTGTGCATTTAATGAGATTATTTTTTATTAGTATGTTGAGGTGTGTCTTTTTCATATTTCACACTGTAATGTGTACTGCCTTTGTGACTGTCCCAGTATACTAAAACTTTGTAAAATGGAAAAGACCCAAGTATCAGTAATTGCTGAATACATGCTTAGATCTTTCAAAAAGACCTTAAGTCAGGGTAGAAAGCTGACTTGAAGCCAGACTTCCACAAAAGGCTGATGTTTCTGTTCTACAGAACGTTTTTTTCTGGATGTCCTAACAACTTCACACTCGTTCTTCAAAACTTAAACTACTAATCTTGAAATTTCATTTCTCATTTTTCTTATTTCAGTGTTCCACAAGTGAGCTTTCTTTAATACTGTATTTAGCCTTTTTTTTTTCTTTTTACATTTTTTCAGGTGGTTCATGATTTGGGACGTGTATTTTTTTTTAAGTCATAGTTTACATATTTTGTACAAGAAAGTTTCAAGTCTAGACATTACCAACATTTTTTCCATGCATACATGCCATGTTGATTAAAGAAATTTAAATGATAGTCATTTTATTTGATTATTTTTTCCAGTCTGGTATTTAGAGAAGAACATTCTTCTTTCCTAGAAGTGAAGCAAAATCAGGTTCAGAAACAGTGCTTTGGATAAGTAGTATACTCAAGTACTTTGAGCCTGGTGTGCATGATCAATCTTCTAGAAGACTATTATTAATCTCTCACTGAAAGATTAAGTAGTTTCTACACACTTCATAGAGGAAAGCATGTATTTGTAGGTGATAGAGCAATACAGCTGCCTATATTGCTTTATTTTATGCTTGAAACAGCTTGAAATCAAATGTAGCTTCTTTTTTTTCGTTCTGTTTTGTAATTTAAGTCATCATAAGATAATTTAACTGGTAGGCTTGTGAGAAAATCTAAGCTCTTTTTTTCTATGTTAATATTTAGACATTGTTAATGTCATAATTTTTCTGCAAAAAAATAGTTGTAGCTTTTAGTGCTGATTAGATGTAAACAGTAGTTCAGTAAGGACTTTTGAAAGCATAATGGTATCTGTGTAAGTTAGATTTTTAGTTATTTGCAGAATGAAAGGAAGGTAGGAAGATTTTCTTTTGATTAGAATGCTGTTAGGACTGTGTTTCAGTTAACTGTAAAATTCTGGCAGCGCAGTTCGTGGGGAATGTACATCTTAGGATTTGCTATTAGAAATCAGGATTAGCTATTAAAATTGGATATTTTTCATATTTGAATTACAGTCATGTCATAGTTCTGGTGCTAACAAATATTTTGCTTTTTCCATGTTCTTAAAGCAAGAGAACTATTTCAGTTAAACGTTTTTATAAAATTTCCATTAACAAGAATTCATGAAACTTTGATAACACATTTTTATAGACTTCAAATATAAAAGGAATCTAGGAGGGGTAGAAGTATGTTTACATCAAATCTGGTTAAATATTCATGGACAATATATGTTTGATAGAGAGCTTTAATGTCAACTTCATGCCACAACTTTACTTCTAACAGTAAGTATATGGAATCTAGCAGTGCTTTGTATTTCGCTTCTTAGATATCATAGGATTTCTATGTACAAGATAGATTATTCAATGCATATCTCATACATATCAAAATCAAACAAAGCCATTTTGAAGTACTCTGAAGTCATTTTCATCCCATATGGTTTCTGATGTTTGAGGCAGTAATGGTTTGGAGAGTTAAGCGAGTTCTCATTTGTTTACTGAGTGAAGAAATGGAAATAGGACTGCACAATTTTAAGGGATGCTCTTCAGAACTACCTTAATTTTCATGCTTTTCATGAATCTAAGCCTAAATGAGAGTACAATCCAGGCTGTGCTACTACCAGGAATAAAAAAAGAACCACCACTACCAACAACCAGTAAACCTTATTCAAACTATACTCTTGGATAAGCAAATCGCATCTGGTCAACTATTTACTTATTTCTCTGTCAGCCCAGTATTGCATCTGCGTCTTCCTTTACTAAGAAAAGTGATTCTTACTGTTCCAGAGAATGTTACAAGTTAGAAAAGTAATTCAAATTTATCACGAAAAATAGATTAATAAATGCAGTGTATGATCTGCTTGTTGAGTTGCTGTATATATTGTCATATTTCTTTTTTGAAGAGATTCAGACAAAGAAATTGTTTTTCTGAGAGTAAAACAGCATTATAGGTTGCCTGTAGGCTAACTGAAATGGGAAGTAAATCATTCTACAAATCTTTAAGTTGTTTCTGTACTGTAATGACAGATAAGCCATACAGTTTATTGGAAGAAATAAGATCTCTTCTGTGTATTTGAACAGTGTTTCAATTAGCATAAAACTTTGTATGACTATTTTTTACAATACATTGAAAGGAAAATAGCATTAATTTCATGAGCCACGTGAATGCATCCCAGTGAACGCTAACATTACATTAAGAACCAAATCAGCCTTTTCAGAATTATGATCTATGAGTTGCCAAGCCACCGCTTAAAGCAACATAGAACATCATGAAGACTTTGAAATTTCTTTCTTATAGAAGCCGCTGGAAGCCTCTGATGCTGGGAGTGTGGAAACAGTCTGTTCAACACAGGCGGGTTTTATGAAACAGCTTTGATACAGAACAGTATCAAAACTTTCAGTGTCCAGTCAGATTTTAGGAAATGACACAAACTCGTAGTTTGTGGTACCAAATCATGAATTCATAGCGTACTCATCCCACAAACCTTTTGTGTTGAATGCCCTATCAGAATGTAGTTCATGCCCAGGGAAATGTTCTGTTATGTCACTGGTTCATTCCTGTACTTTCCAGTAATAAAGTTTACAACTATTTAGTGATTGGAAAGAACATTTCTGATTTCCACCTCTGGTGTAAATTTATTTATTTATTTATCTAACCTTCATGTTGCCAAATCCTAACCTCTTCTGTGTCATTTTTAGATAATATTGCTTGTAATTACTGAGTGGCTCACTTCAGTGTTACGTACTTTCACGATCTCTATGTGAAGCAATGGTTAAATTCTCATTTCTGACCTCTTAATGCAGCAGTTTTAATTTGCAACTGTTTTAACTTTTTTCCCACAGCATTTCAATTCTACAAATACTGACAGGTAACTAATAAGTGAGTGATTCCAGATACTTATTCTCCTTGAGGGCTTAGAATTTCAGAATGTTTGAATTTGATATCAGTAACACGATTTTCTGAAACAGATGGCTAACACTTGGGGTGTGATTATAAAGCAAAGTGTAGTGTCATGTGGGTATGTTTGAATAGCTTAACTATTTGGAAGTCTCTAATTAGTTCACCCTATCATATGGGATATAACACTTCCAGTTGTTGGAGTGTCTTGATTACGTAACATTCTTTATGGCCTTTTTTTTTTTTTTTTGGCATGCATTAGTAAGAGATAAAGTGTCAAAAAAAAGAATTCCTTGTTTTTTTTGTTTTTTTTTGTTTTTTTTTTTTAAGCAATAAATAAATTCCAGAATGAATCTCATCACTATAATTTTATGTACAAAATAAAGCAACTAGCAGTGTGAAAATGTCACTTGATGTCATCTATATGCATAAAACATTGCAGTAGAATTTAATGCAGTGCATTTATATCAAAATTTGTAAGAATGGCTTTTATACGCATGTCAAAGAATCTGCTGTGTATTTTAATTGAATCAGTGATTAGCAGAATTTTTTTCACTGCATCAGAGTTGCCATTTTCTGATCTGCATGATAGGTTTTACTTTTTCACTTGTTTTGCTGGACATTTCTTGTTTTCTTGAGATTAACTTGATTTTTTTTTTTTTGTAACCCGTCCTTTATTTTCCTAGTAAACCTCTTCTTTGTTTCTCTTTGTTTTATCACATTTTGTGCACTCATCTATCTTTCTGTTTATGTGTGTTAGTATTAATTACTAATTCTTATAGATCAGTATTGCGAAAACAGTTGGCTATCATAAGGTTTAAGAACCATTGAGCAACGAATTAGAGAAATTATTAATAAAATCATCTATTTTCTAACCAGTGCCTTAAATTATTTTAGCAGTAATGTGCATTCCCTTTGCAGTTGAAACTTCTGTAGATTTGTAGGCTTCTTCAATTCACCAGTCAATGTTTTTCTGCCATAATGCACATGTAATCATAGAATCTCTGAGTTCATTTTAAAACTTTCTATTTCTGTGTGCTTACTGAGGTACATCTGCAGTCATACTAGCTGGTTTAAACCCAGCAAGTTGTAACTGTGTTAGCTTTGTTATTTAGAATATACTTTTCCACTCTCTTGCACCTCAGTGTTTCGCTATTGCATTCAGTATTGCAGAATGCTTTAAGAAGTTAGAAAAAATTCTAGAGTTTCCAGGAGATATGTAGTAACTGAAGTTGACTTTTTGCCATTTTTTTTTCTGTGTTGGAAGTTGACATGTGATATAAACTCTGCAGATGCTTGATAGGGTCATAAATGAGTTATCTTTGGAGGGGATTTTTGTATGTTCATAACTTCTGTTGTTATAAGTCTATGGTTTCAACGTCCCTGCTGTCTTACAGCTCTAACATTATTGGAGAAAATGTCTTTAAGCCATCTTGCTGGCCTAGTTTCAGATGGAAATTAAGTTTTACATAATTGTATCGTGCCTGTTTATGACTTTCTTCTCTTTGTAGAACCTTTGTGTCCCAATAAGAACTTTGTACCTGTCATAAAATTTAAGCCAAAACGATACTCGCAGTTAAGAAAATTATCATCCAAAAAAATTTATTTTCCATTGATTAACCTAACATAAAAACACTGAGAGTTGTTAAGGGTGCCTTTCATAGTCACTATTCTCTAGTTCATTTATGTACCCATTATGCTCATTTTCCTTTATTTTGGATACCAAGGGAAAAATATGTGCAAAAGGACAATTCTGGTAAGCAATAATGGTAAGGTATTAAGGATTTATTACATTTTTCTGTGGCAAAAAATGTGTTGATTCAAAGGTACTAAGACAGATGATAAAATTTCAGGAAAACAAATCATTAATATAGTATGCAAAGTTCTTCCAGATGAAATATGTTCCTGTGCTTACTCATTTTGTGGTAACTGGCTGAAGGTCTATATATTTAGACTATAGAGAAGGTAAACTTTTAAAAATACTGTAAAAATTCTATAAGTAAAGTTCAGAGTTAATTTCTGTGATATGTGATGAGCAGCAAAAAGAGCTGTAAAAAAAAAACAAATCCTGCTTTAGGTCTTTTGGGTTTTGAGCTGAGCTATCCTATGGAAGGTACAGTTTCCACTTGGAATCTTTAGGGAACCTAAATATGTTCATAGGTTTATTTGTCTGCTTTCTCTATGAAGTATTATCCATTTTCATAGGATAATTGCGCACATAATGGTTCTTTAATTTAGTTTGGCTAAAAAACGTCCAAGCTGTTTTTTGTTTGTTTTTTACCCTCAGAACATTATCAGCTCTATGTTCCTGAATCAGCTCAGGTTGGATCAGCAGTTGGCAAAATCAAGGCAAATGATGCAGACACTGGCTCAAATGCTGACATGAAGTACACAATTATAAATGGTGATGGTGCTGGGGTGTTTTCCATATCCACTGACAAAGAAACACGGGAAGGAATTCTTTCCCTGAAGAAGGTAAGCAGCAGATATTGAAAGTTGCTGGAGTATGTCGTTAAAAATGTTATGTTGAATGTCAAATAAGCAGGTGCTGTAATTATTTTTTTTCTGTGTCGCCCTATTAAATTCGGCAGTGTAAGTTTATCCATGTTGCTTTGTAGAACATCTTAAGCCATTTCAGAGAGAGCAGGGAGAAAAAAAAAAATCAAAGACAGAAACATATAATTTGTGGGTTTCTTTGGTTGGTTGGTTTGTTTGTTTTGGGTAAATAATTTTACTTTGCTGATGTTTTACTCATCAAATTTCATTAAAAAAAAAAAAATTTGGCTTTGAGTACAGAAATGGATGAAATTTTATATGGAAAGCTTATCTATGGAAATGAAAGTATACTTAAGTTTTCATATACCTTTGTTACTTGAATTTCTTCCTAGCTGGCTATCTACTGTGCTAAGTATTTTGCACTGTATAATACAGACGCTAACTCAAAAAGACTCAAAACTTAACTAGCCTAAACATCACACAGTTACAGTATATATCTGAATGACATAGCTGATACATTGGAGGGAAGGGAAGCCATCCAGTGGGACCTGGACAGGCTGAAGAAGTGAGCCCATGAGAACCTAATGAGGTTCAACAAGACCAAATGCAAAGTATTGCACTTGGATCAGGGCAGTCCCGGCTATTTATATAGGCTGGGGGAAAAACAACTTGAGAGCAACCCTGCAGAGAAGAACTTGAAGGTCCTGGTGGATAAGAAGGTGGACATAAGTTAGCAGTGTGGGCTTGCAGCCCGGAAGGCTAACTGTATCCTGGGCTGCATTAAGAAAGGGGTGGCCAGCAGGGAGAGGGAGGAGATTGTCCCCCTCTACTTGGCTCTTGTGAGGCCCCATCTAGGATACTGCGTCCAGGCCCTCAGCATAAGAAAGATGCAGGAGTCTTGGAACAGGTCCAAAAGAAGGCCGCTAAGATGATGAGAGGGCTGGAGCACCTCTCCTACGAAGGAAGGTTGAGCTGGGCTTGTTTAGCTTGGATGAGAGAATGCTCCTGGGAGACCTCATTGTGGCCTTGTAGTACTTGAAGGGAGCATATACTGGAGGGAGAACAACTGTTTACATGGATAGGTGGTGATAGGACAAAGAGGAATGGTATTAAACTAAGACAGGGGAGATTTTGATTAGATATTAGGAGGAATTTCTTCACACGGAGGGTGGCGATGCATTGAAACAGATTACTCCAGGAGGTTGTGGATGCTCCATCCCTAGAGGCATTCGAGGCTGGATGGCAGGATGTGGCTCTGGGCAGCCTGGTCTAGTGATTGGCAACCCTGCCCATGGCGTGGGTTTTGAAACTAGTTGATCACTGTGGTCCTTTTAGACCCAGGCCATTCTATGATTCTGTGATTCTATTATATGTATTTCCTGCATTTATCCCTGTCTATTTAAACTATTAATCATAAAGTGTTCTTGCCATTTAAGTTCACTCTTAACTAAGTTCTGTATAAAAATATAATTCCACAGATAATTTCATCTGTGTATTAAACCCCCTGACATGAGTTCACAGCAAATCTTTCCTGAAATACTTGCCTGTTTATGTTAATATCCTATGAATAAAACTGACTTTACTTTAATAATAGTACAGAAAGTTGAGTTGTTATGTTTTAAAAGGTTTTTTTGAAATGTTTCCAACAAGGGAAATCCTTTCTTGATTATTATTATTTTTTTTTCATTTGGGCTAACAGATTTCAATTATCAATTCTCACATGGCTTTGTTGTTACCGTTTTGAGGCAGCAATTATATCCATGTGCCCTAAAAAATGGTAGCGAATTGACATTCATATTTAGCTCATGTATTCTGTGCTCAACTGAAGCTAGGAAGGATGAAAACCAGAACCTCTTAAAGAGATATTGTGAGAAAAGGGAATCTAAAAAAATTACATCATTGTAGTAAATGTGTTTCTTTTGCATCTGGATAAGTATTTATGCATGTATTTGTAACTGAAGGAAATGTTATTTTCACCACTTATAATGATTTAAAATGGTTCCTATCTTTCTCAGAGTAATAAAAAACTTCAATTCAGTGTATTTTAGCCTTTCAGCCATAAAAATAAACTCTTGACTTTTTTATACCAGTGAAGCTCATGGTGGCCTAGATGGAGGTGATGCTATAATCTGTTATTGCTTCCTCAAAATGAACGTTGTTCTGTTTAAAAGTTCACCATGGCTATTATTCATTAAGTACAACAAAGATGCATATTAAGAATGTGAAGAACAAAGGAAGAATCTTCAACAAAACAAAGTAGTTCTTATATTGAATATGTAAAATACCGTTTCTTGTTGTTGTTGGCAGACATTTCTCTGTGTTTTAGAATATGGCAAAAGCATATGTTTCTTATTCCTTTACATACACATGACAGAAACTTGAGTCTCTTTCCTATCAAGACAAGAAAGGGTCCATTTTACTTGGTTAATGTTTTATTTCAACTGAGAGATGTAACACTTAACAAGTCACAAGCTTGTGTGCAATACTTCCATTCTCTCCTTCTACTGCTAAACAGCACAGATCACCTGAGACAGTAGATGAGCGAAGTTCTTAGCACAGCATTGGACAAGCTGTAAATGTAAAATAAATGTCAATTTTAATACAGTATCTTAAGCAGTATTCCAACAAAATAAAATTCTGTACATTCAAATTGCAAACAGATTTCAGTTATTGAATATTTTATCAAATATACAATGAAAAATACTTGTGAGCGCTTCAAATATGTAGAATCTGGCTTCCTTTGATTGAAAAGTTCCTTACTTCTCAGGAGAGAACAAGCAAAACCAAAAAATTAGTACTAGTTGGGACCCCTGGTAATAGTATTCTGTAGCACAGTGTGTATCTTTTGTTCAAGATATCTCAAAATGTTGAAAGTAGTGTTGTTTTTTTTGGGTTTTTTTGGTTTTTTTTTTCTTTACCTATGTGAATCACTGTGCAGGAGTGTAGGCTTTTCCTTTTTTCTTTTTTTTTTTTTTTCTTCTGTGCCCAAGTGTATGATTTTTATTTTGCAGAAATTGTGGAAAGAAGACTAAAGAAAATTAAGAGAAAAAAAACTGCTCTGGCTATAGTTTTAAAAACTTAGGTTTCTTGAAACATCAGCTTTTTCTGATTATCTGGAATGTACTTCTAAATAAAAAAACATTAATATTGTCCAATTGAATAACTCCAGAAGAGAAAACAAGACTTTAGGATCCATAGTATGCCTAATGTTTTTTGAGAGAAATTAATGTTCTTGTACAACTTAATCCAAATATTGTCAGTATAAATTTTATTTTCCCAAATCTTCTATTTGAAATTTGCCATCCTATTTTGAATTTGTTTAATCTTAGAGTATATATGCTACAAAGCAGTGAAAATAATTATTTAATATTTGACCTGCTCATAGCAGTAATATAGTATAAGTAAACGAATGTCATCTAAATTAAAATTGGAGAATTTTAGAGTATGAAATTGTATAGATTATATAAAATTGTATTTACTGGATATATTTCTGTATGAATTGACTTATTAGGAGTAGTATTTTTAGCTCTTTTTTTCATCGCAAAAAATTATCTCATAATGGTAAATTTTCACGCCTTTAGTATTTTTATTTGTACATTCAAGAAAGGGAAATGAGAAATAAAAATTTTTCATACTATTATTTTTAAGAGAATTAAATTGTTTTTCTTCAACACAAAGAGGAGAAATCAAAGAAATATATATAAATCCTCACCAGCTATATTTCTTATACATCAACAGTCAAATTTACTTTAGACTTTTTCTACAAAATATACAGACATTGATAAATCACACATTGAGTTCCTCATAATTCTTGGCTTAAGTATTTCTTTTCAATTCTCTAGTGTGATAGGAAATAAGAATTTATCATTGATCGAAGTCTTGAACACTTCCATTGATTTCTGTTCAGTCAGGCTGCAGGTCCACACAAAACAATATTGATTTTTATGACATTCTGTCACACCAAAATTTCTACCTGTGGGGATTCCAGTTAGACCATTGACCTTGTGGGATGTGGACTAAAGCATGGCACAGGAAGTGAAAGAGAAGAATATACATTTACTTTGTATAGTATTTTGAGATCTATTTTTCTACTGAGATAAATTTCTGTAGTAGAATGGTATTACATGAATGTGCAAATTATTGTTATGCTGTGTTCTGAGTCTGTTTGAAATTTACTGGTAGTACATTTCTGTACAAACTATCTGCTTTACTCAGCATGGCAATATGTATTAACTACCTATCCTTCTTTATAAATCAACTGAAGGCAGAAAGTTGTAACCCAGTAAAGTCTTGAGGTATTTATTATCACATATGAGCACTTTTCCTCAACATTTAAATGCACTCAGAGGAATGCATTTAAAATGTAACACTGTGAAGTTTAGCAGCCTATTCAGTGACTGCCTGAAATTACATATTTTCTTGAGACTGATGAATGACCACTTGGCATTCTTTATAGCCTCATGAGTCTAACTGATTTGTGGAAACTTGCTGAACTTCATGTAATTGCAGACAGATGCTGATAAAAGTTCAAAAAATTGCAACAGGGATTGGTCTTGATGCTTGTACATTTAAATAGCTTTGGTCCAAAGTGCCTTGTTTTATGGCTGCTTTCTCAGGCTCTTCTCCTGTTGGCCTTGTCCTCATCATTGCATTTAGTCCCTACGGTCAGTATAGTACAAGTTTAGTTCTTCATTTACACATTTATCCTTCTCTGCAAAACCAAAAAAAATGTTGACCTCTCAGGTTATAAACTATTGTATGTAGATTTTGTACAATCCATCATGTAATGCAGTTTCTGTTATTTCTTACTGGTTTTGAGATCAGTATCTTAACATGTTTAATGCATGTAAATGGAAAATGTATTTTTATAGACATTTCAGCAATAAACACCAGCAAACAATATATGGAAAAGGTAACTTCTCACAGTAAAGTCGTGATTTACTCTCCATGAAAAGTAGTAAATTATTTTAGTGACGTAAAAGAAAACAGCCCAAAATAGCTGTGGTTCTTTCAGTCACCCCCACTGTGTAACCATCTAATACTGGAAGAGTTGGGAGTGGGGTGTGTCATGGCCTGTCCTGTGAGCTCAGGCTGGTTCTAACTGCAGTGAAAGGTTTCATAACTTACTGCTTTACACAAAAATTGAAGACTATTAGCCAGTTCATGCTCCTGATTTTAATATTAATTTCAATGTCTCTGTAACAAAATATTGTCCATAAAACTTATTATTTAACAGCATGCAACTGAATCTGCATACATGAATTTCATTTTCATGATTTGCAAGGCCATCATTTTTTTTTTATTAGTAAGCCTAAAGTATTTCAGAGGATTAAAAGAGACATAAAAGGAGTGAAACAGATAAAATGTTGTCATGTAAATAGCTAACTAGAAATACTACTCCTAAGAAAGGAAGTGCTATGTGATACATGAGTTAAACCAACTTCTTCCTAGTGGAGCTGTACGATTCCTAGTGGGAATCTATTGATTTTAATACCTTAATTGATAATTTTAATTGATATTATTAAAATCATTAATTTTAAAGGTAAGACTAAAGTGGCAGTAGTGCTTCTTGTGGATGGTACAGACAGGGATTTGCTTTCTGTTGGGTTTTATTTGAACATTACGCCTTGTAGAAGACACGTCTACAGCTGCAGACTTTCTTTCCACTTATGGCCATTTAATACATGTGCAGTGAAGCAGCACATAGTAAGACAGACTGAGAGGTTGTCCCTCAGGTTGCTGCTGGTAAAGAATTTAAAATAAAAGGGTCTAGACTAGAGGTATACACCATTCATTTGCCTCTCTTTAGAAAAGCATGCATGCATGTGTTCAGGCCATCCTTACGTATTTAAATTTATTGTATTACAAGAGTGTTTTCATGCAAGGAGTTGCTTTTCAGTTGGAAGTTTAAGAGAAGAGGTGCCCAAAATAATTCTAAATCCCCATCATTGTCTATTAAACATGTTAATTAAAGGTATGAAATTAATTTAATTTGGAATACTTTTTAAGCATCTAGCAATGACCACTAAATTTGAAGAGTGATAAAATCCAGAGACTGCATTATCACAGAAGAAGAATTTGACATTCAGTCACAATCCTAAGTTCTCCCAGAACAAAATTCTGTTGGAGAAAAAACCTGAGTCATCCTACTCCATGTATAACCTTCTACTTACAGTGTATGTCAATGACTGTCGAAATATCACAGAATGTTGTCCCTTCACAGTAACCTGCTACCAAACTAAACTGAAAAGATATAGTTAGCTACCAGGCTAAACTGAAGCACAGAATGGTAATGAGAAATACTTTTTTCTGCCAACAGCCTCTCAACTACGAAAAAAAGAAATCCTATACGCTTAATATAGAAGGAGCAAATACTCATCTTGACTTCCGCTTTTCGCACCTGGGACCATTCAAGGATGTAACAATGCTGAAGATTATAGTTGGCGATGTGGATGAACCTCCTCTCTTCACTATGCCTTCCTATCTCATGGAAGTTTATGAAAATGCAAAGATCGGGACACTTGTTGGCACTGTGACTGCACAAGATCCTGACACTGCCAACAGTTTAGTGAGGTATAGTGAGTTCAAGTTATACTGGGTTGAATTCCATCTGCTAAATGTTTAATGAGATTTGGGGTAATGAAACAGTTTATTTTATTTTAGTACACAAAAGGAAAAAGTGTGTTAGTATTCATAGTGTTACAGTCTGCCTACATGGATTTGATTTAATAATGTAAACTCAAACTTTCGTTGCGTTACATAAAATCATCATTCAGTCGTCAGTCTGAGCAATAATGTACATTACATGTATGTTATTCATACATCAGCAGCACTTCTCCAAGCAAACCACTACACAAGACCAGTGCATGTTAACACATGGTGTAAAATTATGCACTTCACTGTCGTTCTGCCAGTGAGTCTTGTACCACTGGTTATAAATCAATTCATGATCATAATGCTGATTTTTTTTCCTGTTATTCAGATATTATTCAGATATATGCAGATACTGAGATGGTCCTCTGCACTCCTCCCACACTTGTTGTGCCAGGTGCTTGTGCAAGGCAGGAGCTGTATTAGGTGCTCTTTTCCTGACAGTCATGCTGTAATTGCAGTGTAATTGCTGCAAAATTATATTTCTAGAGGAAGTCATTATTTTCTTATATACTAAAGTTTTAGTAGAGTAATGAAAAAAAAATTAATAATGCAGCTCACTGACATTGCTAATCATGTGTGCAAGGTCTGGTGCAAGTGCTGAAAAGTAAACGCTTGTAATATCAGATGTATTATTTGAAAACTAAACAAATGTTACATATTAGGAAGGCAAGATTTTGATAGCCTTTCAATTGAATTTCCTCTTAAAGAAAGGAAAAAAGGGAGAATTCTGTGTTGTTGCCCTTATTGAAATAGTTCATATAGCAACAGAACTGGGTTGGAAATAAGTCATGATCTGAACTAAGGAACTGAAATCAAACTGGAAATGCCCCCACAGCAAGCTTGAAAAAGCATTGATGCCAAAAATATGCATATGGATGATAATCTGGCTTCTTCTAAATTTAAAAGCATCTGGATTTAACCTTGACTGCCCTGGAACTAAGGCTTGATTTCATTACTGGTTTAGAAGATGATTTTAGTTACATGTTTTCACCTGTAGTAGGATCTGATAATGTATTTTACTCACTTTATCTGCTGGATATGTTACTTTCTAAACTGACATGCAACGTGTGAATTTTGTGGAACAATGCAGAAATATTTGTCTTAAAATTGGTACTGGTTTTAAAATGTTTCAGAAAAAAAACATTCATGAATACATATTTGGGGTTACTTCTTTTTATGACAAAATGGTATAGCTTTTCTGGAAATTATATGAGAATTTACTTGGAGAACAATATTTCAGAAGCTAATTGGACTCCTGACTGAGCTGAAGTCTGCTGGATATGTGTGATAGTTTTCGGTAGGATGAAACAGTTTTTGCAGAACAATGAAATAATCCAGTTTTTATGGTTCTCGGTGTGAATTTTTTGAGGATTCAAAATATTTAGTGTCAGAAAATCAATATATGCAATTTCTTAGTGGTAAGTTATTGCCTTCGAAAAATCAGCACTGTATTATTTATGTCCAAATCGTAACACAAATTAGAAAATACCACTAAAAACAACTCCTTAGTGCCTGTGGTTTTTAATAGTATAATTCTGAAACAGCAGCTAATACTGCCAGATTAGAAGTTGTAGTAGATTGGAAATAGAAAGGACAAGTGCAGATTTGACTAGTTCTACCATATTTCAGCAATCTGTGAGCATTGAAATTGTTGTATAGAGAACTATAAGACAGTAATGGTGACAGAAAAGCTACTGCAGTTTGCATAATGTCTGGGAAGGGCAGAAATTGATTTTTTTCTGTGAAACAGGAAGTAATTTGTAGGAAGGGCGACTGGAATTTCCAAATATTTTACTTTTGGTGTTGGCCTTTTATTTTCCCAAACAAGAACTTGTAACCAATGATTGAGGTCAGAATATGAAATATCCATATTATTCAAATAAGTTAGTTGACTTTTTTTCCTGTGTTCTGCACATTTTTGTGCCTTTCCTTCCATTTCTTTCTGTTGAATTAGGAAATTATATAAAATGCTGGCACAATGTACTGAATTTTTGCTTCTGAAAGGATTCACCCCTCAGAGGGGTTCTGATAGTCCTTAGCAAATCAAGCATCCATAACATTTAATGCAACACGTCACCAGCCATGGGCCACACGGAGTGGCTTGGCTGAACTAGTGCTTGGCCAGAGGCAGGTCCTAAAGGAGGAACCTTAGGAGGTGGTTTTTCTCAGAAGTGTGTGTGTGTGTGGTGTCCTTATGTCCTGTGCCAATCTGCAAGAGTATCCTTCACTGTTCAACTAAACCCCAATGATTCTGAAAGACCATTGCTTTCCCCCGTATATGAACAGTTCCAAGTTTATTTTAAAAAAAAGTCATTATAGAAATAAAAGACAGAAAGTTTCAATATAAGAAAGCACGTATCACATAGTCTCCACAGCAGATAGCTACAGAGTAAGACGTGAACAGCTGATCTGCATAGAATAATGTTTCCTTTGCCAAGAGAATTGGATGCATTTCCCAATGCTGTAAGTCTACAGGACAGCTATGGAGCAGCAATTTGCTTCACAGCTTTTCCTTATCTACTTCTGCATCCTTTCTACTTTGTGAGGGTGCTCATTGCTATGTGTGAGACTGATAAAGCAATACGCACACAGATGCAGCCATATCATTTCTCTATTGTCCATCTGCTAGAAAAGATATGGTGCTGTGATTTATTCACTCCCCAATTAGCTATCACTTTATTTTGGTGGCTGCAATGATTCTTATAACTAGAATGATGGTGAGAGGAGTAGTTAAAGTAATTAACAATGCTGAGGGGAAATCCTTGTAAAATTTAATTATTGAAGCTAGAAAAATAAATAAATAATGACTTCTGTTGTTATCAGTGGTGAGGAGTCAGAATGCTTTTTTTTCTCATTTTGTCACTGCAATTTCATCCCAGTAATTTCAGCTTGCTTCTGAACCAAGTCATCTCAGAGGCCTCTGACTTTGTGCCAATCCTTGTAACACTGTTTAACTTTTTCAATCCTAGCAAAAGAACCTCTCATAACAACTGTAGCTATTATTGGTTTATTTTCTTCAGACATTATCTGGTTGGCGGTTTGGCAGTTTTAAAGGATTTTTCTTTTTAAGTGACTATATATTTTTTGCATAAATAGAAATGCATTTTCAATGAAACTTTTTGAAGTCCTGTACTTTGAAAATTATAATTCTATTGAAATAGCAAAAGTAAACATAGCCATAGAAAACACAAGAAAGACAGATAAATAAACTTCATCATATATTAATTTTAACTATTTGTGAGTGGTTTGGAAAATAACCATGTGCTAATTGAATGTGCTAAATGAAGAGAAAATATCCCAAATTGTAATTTATTCAGAGAGATCACAGACTCGTTATATTTGTGCCAGGTAGTCTACTTCCATACCAAAATATTTTATTGCTTTTAAATATCAGGGTTATGTCTTATGAAATATCTGATGTGCAAGCAAATCTTGAAAGTTGCCAATACAACATTAAAGAATGGATAAAGATTGAATTCACTTACTGTCGTTTTATTTTAATAAATCATTCATTTTAAATCTCTCTGCACTTACTTAGATATCATCTTTTTTTCTTCCTGAACCCATACACAGCAGAATTCTGTGGAGATTAGAGGTGAAAAAGTTTTTAATTGGCAGGATGCATATGTGCAATGGGAGCAGCCCTAGGCTGCTAATACTGCCTCAGGGCTGCAGTTGTGCCTGTTGAAACCCTGCCATCTTCCTATAGGTGATATTTAGATAGTGTGTCTTAGCCACAGTGAATGCTTACAACATTCCTTGGAGCTTTCAGATTGCATCTGCTCTATTTTCTGTGGAATGCTTTTCAGAAAGATAACACTGCTGCCATTCCCCAAGCCCCTTTGGAGTTAATGGGTCAGAAAAGAGCAAAGGCATGGTTACAGGACCACAAAACTTTATTGAACTCTGATAGAACAGTGAAAATAATTGCATGACATGGGCAAATTCTTTCATATTAACTTTATCCCAGGCTGATACTATCTTAAAAGGAGCTGAGTGCCTTCTTTAACATTGATTGGATCCTGGCAAGTGTACTATGTGGAAAAAAAAGTTGCACTATTACAGAAGCACCGTATTAAGTCTTGTTATATTAATGCATTGAAATTCAAATCATTTTCATGTTGGACTCTGGCCACTCTGTAATCTTACCTTGTTAGATTGAATTTTATTAGTTGGGACTGAAATTGATTAGCTATAGGAAATTGGGGTGATCTTACTGACTTCCTGATGTCATTCTAAAATAACTTTCTACTCGGTTCTCTTGTCACTACTCCTTAAAAGTAATAGGCAGGAAAAGAAAAAGGAAAAAAAAAGAAAAAAAAAAGTTACACATGGTTTTCCTTTTGCTGAAAACCATTCCTTCAATTCCAGGAAATGCAGAATTAGCCAACTGATAATGAAACAATAAAAACAAAATATTAAACAAAAATGACCCACACAAAGTCAGAAAAGGCCTTTTTATTTTTGTGAATGTCAGACCATTCATTTTGTGGTAAGAGTAGGAGAAAGGCTTAAAAAATGTTTCAGAGAATTCTGTTTATATTGTATTTTTTCTGATGTGAAGTTTATATTTACTGGAGGTAGAATAAAATGTGAAATTCTGATTTAGCCATTCACTCAAATTTTGATTGTATAGTATTGGCATGTTTAGGGGAGGGAGATGATCTCTCAGCCATGTGATGGGACTAAGGACATTGAAGATGAAAATTATATTTTTCAATTTATTTTCTTCCTGCCCTAGGAGATTAGTATCAGTTTCTATGCCATTCTTGCTGGAAAATGTAAGAATCCTCTTCATCTTTTTGTATAGATGCGTCTTAGTTGTTAGTTGGATGATCTATAAGTTGAATAAGGTCAGTTTGCTGTTTTATATCCTGTGCATAGGACGCTTTGTTAGCTGTACTTAAGGCAGCTTGCTG